ACAAGCAATATCCATGCTTGCTGTGGTTTCTACAGTCAAACATTAACTTACGAACAACAGAAGAATTGCTGTTATTTTTACATGTGACTTGCCATATCAACTTAATAAACTTCACAGAAAAATTGCTACACATGATGTTATTTCTGAATTTAAGCACTTCTTTCAAAATAAAAAAATTTCAGTAAGGCCAAGCAAAGTTAATTCCTTGGTTCTCGGGCCTTTTTTTCAAGAAATATGATGAGGGGGGGAGGCATTTTTTAAAAAAAATTTATAGCCTCCAAAACACGATGAGACAGCTTTTTACATTATACAAAACCTCAAAAAATGATGAGGGGGTGATTTGTTGCTTTTATTTTATTGATTTAGCAATTAAAGAGGGTCAATGAGGCACCCTTGGAAGAGATGAGGGAGGGCCTGAGAATCAAGAAATTAATTTTTTTTTGCCTAATTCTTTGGTAATGCTCTTGAATGTAATATCAAAAAAAGAAGAAGATGCTTTGAAGGTTTATGTTGAAAACATTTACCCTTAAAATATGCACATATGACATCTTGGATTGTAATGTAGAAATTCTTTTTTGTACCAAAAAAAAAAAGCTTACAGATCTTGTGAAAAAATACTGGCAGAGAAAAAAAATGAATGTATATATACTGTATACTTTATACATGTGTTATATGCAGTACTTAGAATGTTTCACTTAAAATCACATGATCTTTTGTTACATCAGTCGAAAATAATGTTTTTATCAAATTCCTTTCAAACTCTTTAATACGATGAATAAAAGTCCATACAAAGAGATGTCACTCATACTGAAAATCACTGATAATTAAAAACATACCATCAAACTCTTGTCCTGAAATTTTATGCCCTATATATTTCTCACACATTACCTTAGTAGCTCTGTTAAAAGAGTTATGTACAAACAAAATCAAAGTACCGAGAGTACTGATAGGTGTAATGACAGACCCACTCTTACACAACAGAAAAATCAGTGTTATACATGACTACAAGGCACTCAGATGTCAACATGGAAACCTAGACATATTTGCGCATTACATCATAATATGTCGACATGGAAATCTGTTATACAATCAAGGTTACCCATTACGTGATCATATGTTGACTCAGAAATCTGTTACACAATGATATTTACGCATTATCATCAAATGTCAACATAAAAATTTGCTGGAAACATTTATGCATTACTTCATTAAATGTTGAAATAAAAATCTGTTACACAATCGTAGTTACACACTACGTCATCATATGTCGACATGGAAATCTGGACACATTTACGCATTACTTCATAAAATGTCGACATAAAAATCTGTTACACAATCATAGTTAGGCATTACGTCATCAAATGTCGACACAGAAATCTGGACACAGTTACACATTACGTCATCTCCAGTGTAGATCGATGGTATGGCTGAGCCAGGGAGGCCATCTTACTATTGGAGGGGTGGAGGGATTTCTGGGCTCGCCTGGAGTCGGGGAACTTACTGTGATAGAGTTCAAGTCGTAAATACTTCACCGTAACCAAGCGACCTACAAATATACAACAGGACAAGTGTATATCCAAGTACATACATCTACAAATATACAAAATCATTTTTGACATACATGTATATATACCGTATAAGTGGAAATTTTAGCGAGACGCAAATTTAGCGATTTGTCCTTAAAAACTGGTAATTTATTTTTAGCGAGATGATATTTTAGCGATTTTAAAATGCATATTAAAGAAGCTATCACAAATAAAACGCAATTTATTTTTAGCGATATTCAATTTTAGCGATCTCGGCACCCTCGCTAATAATGCCAAAATTAAATCCTCGCTAAAATTTCTACTTATACGGTATGTCTAATTTTTTTTTATTTCATGTGATCAATCCAGTGGCTTGCATGATAATTTGCATAAACGCCGAATTAAAATGATCACCTAAGTCAACTGATTGATCATCATCATGAAAGAAAAAAAAATCTGGCAGTTATTCCTAATATTTACATGCTCTTGATTCTCCATGTGCTCTAACCCCACTTCTTTCTCTATATTTGTCCCGTCCCACACATGATTTTTTTTTAAGCGTGCCTATCGATGAACCAGTACATTGATGTAGAAATAAGTACATTAACTATTTGTAATTGTATTTCGGACAAAGACATCGGAAATGTTAATATTATGTAATAAATACAGTGGACCCTCAAATATCCGGACGCCAGATATCCGGACACTTCAGTATCTTGACAATTTTTCATCGGAACAGAAGTTTGTAATGATATTTTGTATTGTTTAACTGGTGATTCAGGTATCCGGACGCTTGTATCCGGACAACTTGACTAGGAATCAAAGCGTCCGGACAAATGAGGCTCCACTGTACTAGTGCTTGGTATAGTGACTGAAAAATCGTATCACGGTATATTGCAATATTATATTTTGTATTGCAATATATCACAATATAAAATTTCTATTAAAATTTGCCTTTCATCAATGTTATATGAAAACACAAATTACATGTATACTCAAATTAATATTGCTATTGCCTGATCGTGTTGTGTCCATGCAACTGGCAAACTAAGTTTTTTGTGGCACAACTTTAAGAATCAAGTTGTAATATTCAGATTCGGCTTTAACATGAAAGGGTTTCATATAACAGCTGTCGTCTTTTCATTTCTGACAGAGACATGTCTCTGGTTTCTGATCACACTTCACATCGCTTGCCGCCATATTTCACATTGAAAAGGGCAAATAACTCTTTTTATAACAATTTATAGCATATCGAACCCGAACCGATTTTCACAAAAAAAAAATACTGCGATACGTATTGTGAAGAACGAAATCGGGATACACCAGTTAACCAGTGATATTGCGCAGCACTTATAAATATATAAACAGATCGGGCAGGAGGCAAAGTCTAGATATAAGCCAGCTCCTCAAATGTTAAATATATGTCACTTGATTTTGGACCTATTTAAGTCCATAGATCTAGTAAAGACTTTTTTTTAGAATTATTAAAACCAACTGAACATTTTAAAAATTATCTTAAACTGACACATCCAACAAGTGTCCCATTTAACGGTGATAATTTAATTATGATAATTATCCGCTCTAACTTACCATCAAACCACCAGCCATGAAGAGATTTGTACACACTGTAGGCCGTCTCACAGCTGTTACATTTAATGTACACACACCCCTGTAAAACAAAGGATACAGTGTTAAATCTAATGTACACACACCCCTGTAAAACAAAGGATACAGTGCTACATTTGATTAACTTGTATCGTACACTATAAAGTGCTTTTGGGGAAAAAGTAACGTCATATTTCTATGACAGGAACATTAAGTGTATGTTCCACAATTCAGTAAGTGGTAAAGAGTTCAGGTGCTGCAGTGAATTACCTCCTTCGAGTTGGAGTCCACATAGATATGGAGAATTCCCATAATTCCTTTGCACTTTTCCAATATGGCGTCCTGAACATTCACTTCCCAATCCTCGTCTGTTTCCCTGGCAACAAAAACAGAACAATTTAGAAGAACCCTCATTAGGGAAGCACAGAGCTTTTATGATTCATTTCTCCAAAGGATTCGACAAAACATATGGAAACTTTTAATGAAAATGTTGATGAAAATCTTAAATCCTAGTGCTAGAGTATCTGGGATTAAGATCAGAGACTCACATTTCTGCATCAAACATGTTTCTGATTTTCAGACACGGGGTAGGACTATAGGGCAGGGCCCCTCCACCACCTGACGATGCGTTGTTCTCACCAAATGCTGAAATTATAATAAAGTTGTTCAAACAAAATGAATGAACATTTCTGTAAAGACAAATTCTAAAACTGTAATCTTAATTTCAGATTTATTCTTCATTATTATCAAACACAGCAGAAATTACTAAATTTCCAATGTAAAATCTGGCTTAAAGGAAGTCACAGGCAATTGGAATTTTGGTTTTTTTGTAAGCAAGATTAGTTAGGCCAAAATAAAAAAAATTTCTTGGTTCTCAGGCCCTCCCTTATCTCTTCCAAGGGTGCCTAATTGATCCTTTTATTGCTAAATCAATAAAAGAAAAACAACAAATCACCTCCCTCATCATTTGAGGTTTTGTACAATGTAAAAAGCAGCCTCATCATATTTTGGGGGCAATAGAAAGTATTTTTAAAAAAAAGCCTCCCTCCCTCATCATATTTCTTGAAAAAAAGCCCGAGAACCAAGGAATTAACTTTGCATGGCCTTATATACTCAACAAAAAAAGAAACGCATATTGTTTTACTCGTCAAAGAAATTTTTAAAATGTACATGAAACAACTGTTTTTTATATCATTGGATACCTGTGACCTATTTAAAGGACAACATGGGGTTTTAAAACCCACGTGTTGAATTATCTCCCTTGATTAAACATGTTTATGAAAGTAGTGTTTTTCATGATTTCTTCTAAATCAGATGTCTATTTTCATTGATATTTTGGATTTAGAGAAACTTTTAACACTTCTTTTAAACCCATATTTAAGATTTGATTGCACTGTTAATTCTGCAATGCCACGCCCAGACAAAGATGAATACAACCAGGCTAACCATGATACTAAATGGAGCTACGCAACAGGAAATTGCAACCTTAAAACTAACGTCTGAAGACCACTATCTGGCCATCCGCAGGTAACCACAACCAGGCAGGACCGTCAGACACCCCCCCCCCCCCTTCATCACCTCATGCGATTCAGAACTTGCTGTAAAAATTGTCGCTTCAATTGCTGGATGAAAAAATCAGCATAAAAATGCATAAATTATTCACATGAGACTAAAATGAGATGATATTCCCCCACGATATCCGTACATTGGAAACCCACTAACATTGAGACTTTGCACAGTCAATATTGTTATGCCCCTTGAATTTGGGGGCAATGAAAATGACCTCACCTTGACTTTTCAATTTGCAACATTGATTTTTATCACAACACACTCTAAAATCGCTTAAATAATACAAGGTTTAAACTGAAAACTTAGAATTTCAAATTATTCTGATTATGCGTTTCTTTTTTTGTTCAGTATATAAGGAACATAGAGAGATGTTTTCTAAATGGGACTATTTTCCAGTGAATTAACTGGTGCTTACTGTACAGCTAAAACATATTTTTAAACAAAACAGGGGAGCAAAAATAAAGATATATGAAAATTGTTGACTTTACCTTGACCCTGCCAGTATTTTCCTCCATTGGAGCAAGCCTACAAGGAAAAAGATTTAATCAGTTACCACATGTACTGTAATTACTGAGTTTTGTTTTAGTACATCTTTATTTACATTCTACCTAGAGTCACAGTAACAGTGAAACCTATCTAATCCCACAGGCAATGGAAGTCAAATTTGTGTCGGAATAGACAGGATGTCAGATTGCATCGTGTAAAAGAGCATAAAAAAACAGTAAAATGAGAATGAAATTTAATGTCGGTATTCACAGTGTGTCCGATTGCACAGATTTTACTGTATATGAGTGTTTCTCAACAAAGTTTTTTTTTTTTGCACAAGACATAAAGTTGCTATCGGCTTACCAAAAGCAATTTCCACAATAATCTTACCAGAAGCCACCTCCAAACTTATCTTACCGGGAACCACCTCCAGACTTATCTTACCAGGGAACCACCTATAGACTTATCTTACCAGGGAACCACCTATAGACTTATCATACCAGGGAACCACCTATAGACTTATCTCACCAGGGAACCACCTATAGACTTATCTTACCAGGGAACCACCTATAGACTTATCTTACCAGGGAACCACCTATAGACTTATCTTATCAGGGAACCACCTATAGACTTATCTTACCAGGTAACCACCTATAGACTTATCTTACCAGGGAACCACCTACAGACTTATCTTACCAGGGAACCACCTATAGACTTATCTTACCAGGGAACCACCTATAGACTTATCTTACCAGGTAACCACCTATAGACTTATCTTACCAGGGAACCACCTACAGACTTATCTTACCAGGGAACCACCTATAGACTTATCTTACCAGGGAACCACCTATAGACTTATCTTACCAGGGAACCACCTATAGACTTATCTTACCAGGGAACCACCTATAGACTTATCTTACCAGGTAACCACCTATAGACTTATCTTACCAGGGAACCACCTACAGACTTATCTTACCAGGGAACCACCTATAGACTTATCTTATCAGGGAACCACCTATAGACTTATCTTACCAGGTAACCACCTATAGACTTATCTTACCAGGGAACCACCTACAGACTTATCTTACCAGGGAACCACCTATAGACTTATCTTACCAGGGAACCACCTATAGACTTATCTTACCAGGGAACCACCTACAGACTTATCTTACCAGGGAACCACCTACAGACTTATCTTACCAGGGAACCACCTACAGACTTATCTTACCAGGGAACCACCTATAGACTTATCTTACCAGGGAACCACCTATAGACTTATCTTACCAGGGAACCACCTACAGACTTATCTTACCAGGGAACCACCTACAGACTAATCTTAAAAGGGAACCACCTACAGACTTATCTTACCAAGGGACCACCTACAGACTTATCTTAAAAGGGAACCACCTACAGACTTATCTTACCAAGGGACCACCTACAGACTTATCTTACCAGGGAACCACCTACAGACTTATCTTACCAGGGAACCACCTATAGACTTATCTTACCAGGGAACCACCTACAGACTTATCTCACCAGAGAACCACCTATAGACTTATCTTACCAGGAACCACCTACAGACTTATCTTAATGGAAGCCACTTATAGACCTAACTTACCAGGAACCACCTACAGACTTATCTTACCAGGGAACCACCTATAGACTTATCTTACCAGGGAACCACCTACAGACTTACCTTAAAAGGGAACCACCTACAGACTTATCTTACCAGGGAACCACTTATAGACCTAACTTACCGGGAGCCACCTCCAGACTAAGAAATCCTCCCCCTGGACTGTCTGGTTCTCGATTCGGATTCTTGACTCGTTCGCCTCGATAAACTTCACGGCTTTTTCCCAGCGGGGCCTCAGCTTCTGTCTTAATATAGAATTACCAATATGATGTATCAATACTGTAAATAAAAGTTGTCATGATAAATGAAAATTAGTAATGCAATGTAAAGCAGAGATGCTAGATCTACATGTATATGCAGTTTTTAGTTTAATATAGACACATTATCAACAACACATGGCTGGAAAACAAATGTCTGGGATCTTTCTTTTTTAAACATATTCAGATAATCCACCTCTGTGTACCTCTGAAAGATAAAAAAATAATTCTGTAAAAAAATTGGGGCTGACCGCTGACTTTCATACCTTTGTTTTGGTGGTAACAGCTGACCGCTGACTTTCCAACCTTTGTTTTAAGATAACAGATGACTGCTAACTTACATACCTTCGTTTTTTTTTTATAACAGCTGACCGCGTTTATACCTTTGTTTTTATGGTAACAGCTGATAATGGACTTTCATACCTTTGTTTTGGTGGTAACAGCTGACCACTGACTTTCATACCTTTGTTTTGGTGGTAACAGCTGACCACAGACTTTCATACCTTTGTTTTGAGATAATGGCTTACCACAGACTTTCATACCTTTGTTTTGGTGATAACAGCTGACAGCGGACTTTCATACCTTTGTTTTGGTGATAACAGCTGACAGCGGACTTTCATACCTTTGTTTTGGTGATAACAGCTGATAATGGACCTGCATACCTTTGTTTTGGTGGTAACAGCTGATCTCGGACATGGGAAACAGCAATAAATTCTGGATGTCTGTTGTTCTCCTGGTGTAGTTCATAATTATCCTTCACTAAATCTGCAAAGAATAACCAGGATTAGGCAAGTTCAGTTCCTCCAGTTGATGACTTTCTCTGTCTACACATATCTAATGGCAATAATTTTCTCTTGTTACACATAACTATTATTATTCTCTTCACACTCACCTGCAATTTTCTCTCTTTTTTACATATACCTAATGTGATTCTCTATATATATACTTACCTATGATTCTCTCTTTTTACATATACCTAATATTATTCTCTCTTTTTACATATACCTAATGTGATTCTCTCTTTATATACTTACCTATGATTCTCTCTTTTTACATATACCTAATGTGATTCTCTATATATATACTTACCTATGATTCTCTCTTTTTACATATACCTAATGTGATTCTCTATATATATACTTACCTATGATTCTCTCTTTTTACATATACCTAATATTATTCTCTCTTTTTACATATACCTAATGTGATTCTCTCTTTTTATACTTACCTATGATTCTCTCTTTTTACATATACCTAATGTGATTCTCTCTTTATATACTTACCTATGATTCTCTCTTTTTTACATATACCTAATGTGATTCTCTCTTTTTACATATACCTAATGTGATTCTCTCTTTTTACATATACCTAATGTGATTCTCTCTTTTTACATATACCTAATTTTATTCTCTCTTTTTTACATATACCTAATGTGATTCTCTCTTTTTACATATACCTAATGTGATTCTCTCTTTTTTACATATACCTAATGTGATTCTCTCTTTTTACATATACCTAATGTGATTCTCTCTTTTTACATATACCTAATGTGATTCTCTCTTTTTTACATATACCTAATGTGATTCTCTCTTTTTATACTTACCTATGATTATCTCTTTTTACATATACCTAATGTGATTCTCTCTTTTTACATATACCTAATGTGATTCTCTCTTTATATACTTACCTATGATTCTCTCTTTTTACATATACCTAATGTGATTCTCTCTTTATATACTTACCTATGATTCTCTCTTTTTACATATACCTAATATGATTCTCTCTTTTCACATATACCTAATGTGATTCTCTCTTTTTACATATACCTAATATGATTCTCTCTTTTTACATATACCTAATGTGATTCTCTCTCTATATACTTACCTATGATTCTCTCTTTTCACATATACCTAATGTGATTCTCTCTTTATATACATACCTATGATTTTCTCCACCAGCTCAAACACACACTTCTGTTCCCGTTCCACTTGACCTCTGTGGTAGCGCCAGCTGAAGAACCCAACTATCACCACTCCTACACCTGTAGTCAAAATCAAAGTACTGAAAGTACTGTACATACACAATCACCACTCTTACACCTGTAGTCAAAATCACAGTACTGAAAGTACTGTACATACAATAACCCACAATATCTAATTTTTTTTACTTGAAAATAAGACATAGGACGATTTACAATTAAAAAGAATGATTTTGATGTTTTAGACTTACAAATATGAAGAAGGATGTTTTAGTGTTACAAATAAAAAGTAGGACTTTCATGTTTTAGACTTACAAATCAGACATGGGATTTTCATGTTTTAGATTACAACTCATACGTAGGATTTTATAATTTCAGACTTACAACTCAGAGGTAAGGTTTTCATTTTCTAGACTTACAAATAAGAAGGAGGATGAGTCCAAAGAGGATTTTTTCCATGGATCTCCAGACCCTTGTGATCAGACCCTGGTCTGGATCAGTCTGGAGGTAGGATATTTGGTCCTCAGTCAGCGTTTTTCCTGTATCGGCCTCAACAAGTTTTTTATTTGCATCATATGCTCTGAAATAGTGATCAGAAGTTATCAAAAATTTTGATAAGCAAGAAAAATTCACAAAAAGTTGTAATCAGACCAAAACAAGCATCATTTTTTTAATGACTTGTGGATTTAATTGTATCTTGTTAATTACAGACGGGCATTTGTAATGGATGAATTTAAAATATACTTATCTATGATGTATAATTTAGAAATTTTAAAATTTAAGTAAGTTAGCAAAATCAAGTCTTTTGTGAAATCACATAGATATGTGACTAATTTTAGAAGGTGGCACCTTTTTAAATACTTCTTCCATTATAATTTGAGTGAAAAGAGATCCAGCCATACTGGTATTTGCTTATTTACATTTGAAACCACTAGAAATATTTCTCATGTTGTGACAAACACTATCTAGTCAACAAAACAGCAGATTATCATTGAAATCTATGTGTGATGACACATAAGATATTACTTTATGAAAACATCTAACCTGAAAGGTTTTTCACTGAGTGTCATCATTAGGCCTAAAAAAAAAAAAGTTTGTTTCCTGTAACCCGACCGACCCATTCAAATTACCCCAGGGTGGATTTTTTTTTCTGACAAATGGCAAAACTTCATTTGATCAATCAGCTGATTCCATTTATTAAAAAAAAGAAAATTAGCTTGTAGCTTAAATTGAGACATAAGATATCTCAACCTAGTTTATATTTACCCTAGTTATTAAGAGTAATCATTATTTTCTGAAGTTCGTTTTCTGCCGCTTGGCAGCCATTTTGGATGCCATGTTGGGTGTCCACTGTAAATATGACACCTAGTATATTCAGTCTGGGGATGTTTGACCATTCATAAGCAAAAGAAAAAAAAAATTCCGACCTACCGACCCTGAATTTTTTGGGAATGTTACAGGAAACAAACATATTTTTTATTTAAGCCTTAGTAAATGTCAATTTATAAGATTTAGTTACAATGGAAGAGAGATTACAGCCTTCACTCTGTTAAATCTGAGGTTTGAGCGAATTAAACCATGGAAAAATGTACAAAGAGATTCTGTCCAAGGGTTTACTGGTTTTTTTTTGTTTTTTTTTTTTTATTTTATTTTTTTGTCCCCGTTTGATTTACACTCCTTTCACCTTTGCTACAAGTGAGTGAATTTAAAATGAGGTGGATTTGAGAAAGCCATGATTATCTCTATGCACCAATTTGGCCAGGCAAATCTAAATCTGGGCAAAATTATTTGCCAGATTGAAAGGGCAAAAAATATTTGGTAGGGGGGGGGGGGGGTGACACAGTATTCCTGACTGTACCTGATGCCCCATTTAGGATTAAATAGGATCAGCTCTTTCGCCTTCCTCATTTCCTGAAAATTAAAGAGTACTTCATGTATTTATCATGTATTTATCTTCCATTATATGCAACTGAAAAAATAAATTAATTGTGTCTTTCATGCATCATCTTTAATGGATTTTCATCCTAGAACAGTAGCTTATATTGGACATCTTTAAGAGTCTTACATATGTATATTCTTTCAATTTTAGAATAGTATAAGTAAACATAATTTGCTTGAATTTCTACTTTTTTTCATTCTGTTAGTAAAGTGCACAAGTGAAAAAAAAATCCTTTCGGTCTAACAGTGAGACAGATTGGTGTTTCTTTACGTCTGTTACCATGGTTACAATATCTGGCCTTACCACTTCACTTTCTGTCACTGTTTTTCTCAATTCTTCCCATTTTATCATTTCTCCATTTGCTGAAACAAAAAAAAACAAAAAAAACAGCCTATTAAAAAAAACCTGATTTCTGGGACATGGGAATGCACAATAAAATTAAGAGCATAAAGAGAAAGTCGTAAACTTTACAAGATTCAAAATTGTAAATGTACAAAATGCAAAAAATACAGATGAAAATTTCCAAAGACAATTAACTATTACAATCGTTTCCCTGAGATTTCTGAACCTGAAGGCAGGTAACTAAGTTACAATTACTTTGTATATGTATCAATTAAACCCAGAATTTTAGGTAACAATAAATGTAAATTAAGTTTTCCAATACTGACTCCTCTAACGTAGTATTACAACTATCATGTTTGAAGGTTTTTCCGTGTCCGAATGATCTCATCATAAGTGTGTTTGCTTGATATGTAATCCACTGCAGAGCTCCAGATAAGGTGTGTATTTGCAGAAATATGCATTGAAATTTTCAAAATATACATTAAAAATTAGAGCTGAGAGTACAGTCAAGCATTAGCAATCGTAGATAAGCATTACACCACGGAAATACTGTGTACAATTAGGGCTGGGACGATATATCGAGATATCGATATATCGTGATACATGTGAGGACGATACGCATATCGATACATATGAAGAAATATCGAAATATCGCCCCCCCAAATTTTACTTCTATTTTTCTTTGTTTATTTAACATTTGGGGTTTAATATATAAAGTAAATAAGTTGTGAAATAAATAATAATTTACACCACTTGAGTAAAATATTTTTGTTTTACAACATATAAACAACTATTTTGAATAAATTATTCTTATTTGCAAAGAAATAATTTGTTTATTTCAATGCAAAAACAGATTTTATAAGCAATTAAACATATCGTGATACATATCGTATCGTGGCTCAAATATCGTGATACGTATCGATATAGAAAAAGTTGTATCGTCCCAGCCCTATGTACAATGGGTTGAATAATACAAGCACGACTTAGCAAATGATATGAAATGAAGTGAAATCAGTGTTTGAATTTTCTCAAAACGAAATACAGATTTAAGTGTTTTAATAACCAGCAACATTCATACCAGTAATATAGATTTCCAGAGAAAAAATCAGAGAATTAGATTATAATTGATTTTGCATATTTTTTAATTTACCGATTAAGAGTTCTCTTAAAATTTTAGAGTTTTCTGCTTAGTAAGATGCTTACATACGGCAGTCTTTGCAAAAAAGAAAAATCGTCACATAACACATTCGGAGAGACAGTTAAAACAATTTTACAGGACCAAACAAGTTTTCACCGGTCCAAAACTTTTATCATATAATGATCAAAACAATGTTTCTTTACATCGTACGAATCAATAAACAAATCACACATTAAAACATAACTGAAATGTTTCTTTTTCTTTCCTGGTACTGTCCTATAGAAATATTTTAGAAATATCGTGGCCAAAGTAGATTTTAAAACAATCATGATCGACCAAATGTTTTAAATAATGTGTTTTGGTATTAGTTAAAGCGTCTAAATGATGATTAGAAAATACAAAATTTAAAACCCAACCAAAACAAACCTCGGACAAATGGACCGATTTTACTAGTTAGGGAATCAGACCAATAAGATTTTCACTTGTTTTGTCCGACGGACCGGTGCTTTTGGGATACACTGCATGAGTTCTGTACATAACATTCCTTTTTATTATGGGTCCATTGCCAATTTCTGATTTCTCTCTACTTCCCATATAAATGAAGATTTGTTCTCTCATTTACTCTTGTTTTTTAAGATATCATCTTAAATGGAGGAAAACATTAAGTGCCTGACACTGCCTGTGATAACTATACCTACTGTATCATCTTCCTTGTCAAAATAGAATGAACCTCAGTTTTAGCCAAAAGTCTTGTTTGTATTTCCAAAATTACAATGTATATAAGTAAATGCAGACACTGTCCTTTGTAGTTTTTTCTCCTCTTCTAAAACACTTGTATATTAACATGATTAAAAAACTACTCTAAAATCATTTCAATGAAAATTAAAATCTACATTGATTTGAAATTCAGGGAGTAAATACACTTTCTGGTAAAAAAATTATCTGGAGCTCAGCCACTGTATATCAGATTTGTCATTAATTCCTGTTAATTACCCATACCTGCCTGTGATTACATTTCATTTCCTGGTGTCATTTCTTTAAGGTACGTCCCTTGATACTCTGATAAGAGAGATAACTCTTCCACTCACCTTTGTTACGTAGATATTCCTCGATTTTCACCACAATCTGCTGAGCCCCTTTATACTGATAACAAAAATAACAATCATATAAAGAAAGTGTCTTCAATAAAAATCAATTCTTAAAAGCTACAGCGAAACTCGTTTAGTACGAACACGGATATTGCGAATTTACGGATATAGCGAAGTCATCTTGGATCCCCGGCTATATAAATTTAATGAATTTCTTATACAGTTATAACGAATTACGGATATAACGAAGTAATTTATAGGTCCCAGTGACAAAAATATATATACCGAATTTTAAAAAGCTGTATTCACCAGTTACACTTCATTTATCTGTTATATTTGAACTTTTATGAAGTGATTAATGAATATTCTGCATCATTTGTATATATTCCATTCAATTACTTATATCCCTTGAAATCAATCAACTTTTCAAGTACCTTTTTTATTACTTTTTTTAAATTTAAGCCTAATAATTACCAGTAATTAGCCTAATTAATACCAGTAATTAACCTAATTAATACCAGTAATTAACCAATTTTCAGATTTTCTTTTACCTCTGTTTGATTTTTTCCCTTGGGATATACCACATCATCATCACCTCCTGAAGAAAAAAGTTTTAAAATAATAAAAACAAAAAACTCAAAGATTCATTAAATAAATGTTTCCATGCAAGTTATACATTTCAATATCCATCCTATATTCAGTATTGTAGGTCATCCTATATTCAATATTGAAGTAGTTATTTGAATACAAAATTATAAAAAGGACTTAAAATTTTATATTATGAAATGGATAGAAAAGTAAAAAGATATTTAGTCCAACCTAGTTGTAGATATTGTCAGACCTGACAAAATAAACTAAGATGCTCATCATATTGTACTATTTACAGTTTCACATGTTTCATTAGTTCAAACTTTCCTGTTTTTTAAAGAGCCCTCAACAATGTTATCAGGCCCTATTGCCTTCTTTGTTTATGAAACCTTCCCGTGCACATCTTAATCTTTAAAAAATTTGCATTTCGCCCTTTTCTTTTTTTTTAAGTTAATCGAGTCGAATGTCATCTACAAAATTATTTTTACTAGGTTGCTAACAAAACCAACAATTATCAACAACTAAGAAAAGTAAATAATTATTTACTCTGTCCAAAATGTGTGCTGCCTATGTCTTGACGAAGGTAAATGTATGTTGCTCCAACAATTAAAAAGAAACAAACAACTAAACACAGAATGCTGGTAGAAATGAATGAAGCTCTGGGCTCGTATGAGTGATCTACATGATTATCGTGTTCATCTTCTACTCTATTGTCCGTGATATTGTTCAATTTTCCACGAGAATACTCGGACCATGTGGTGTCGTTTTCTGCCTTCCTGGAATTCCCCCTCCCCGCTGACCTGCGCTGTTTAACAGAATGACCTAACGGTGACTTGTAATTATCAACAAAACTGTCTTGTAACTGAAAAGTTGTGTTCATAGATTTGTTTTCGACTTCGTACATACTTTCATCGGGATCAGAGTCTGTGAATTCATTCTGATATTCATACGAGTAATTAACTGAGGAGTTTATAACGGCAGCCCCGCCCACTTCTCGAGACAGGTCAGGATATAATGATTTCAATGGCACACTCGGGGCCGGGGTCACTGTTTCACCCCCCACCCCACTCCGCCTCGTGCTGCGTCTTCCAGCTCGAGTCCGCGGCGGGGATATTTCTATTGTGTCTGTTTTAGAGTAGGACGACACAGTTTCTTTCGGTGGACCTTGTCTTCCAGCCATGCGTTTGACTGGAACAACTGTCTCATCTTCGCTTTCTTCAGCAGAGCTGAATTCGACATTTTTTGTCTGTCTGGATCGAGACGGCGTCGTTTTCTTTCCCTGATTGGCAGGTCTGTCTCGAGCCCTGAAATGATTTAACTTTTTTATCAGTATTGGTCGTTTTTTCTTGTCGATCGGCACTTTTACCACCTCACCATAGCCTTTCAATTCTTCTACGAGTTCCTCGTCTGTAATTTTTTCCGCCATCTTTGCGGCTTACACAGGAAGTTGAGAAAATCAATAATACGCATGCTTTGCAGAGTAGGAGCGGATCAAACAAAAGAATATTAGGCACTTCATCTTAGCATCTTCCCTAGCCAAGGGTTTCTGATACGCGAGAGTAGCGTATCAGAAACCCTTGACTAGCGAAGATGTTTATTTTAGATATTCCCGAAAATCAATTACATTAATAGAAAAATATGGTAAAATCAAGGATGATGAATATGACGATTTTCGAAAATTTTAGCATTTATTCTTTGTAAAATAGGCTAACTATTATCAAAATACAGACAGGAATATGATAAAAAGACTTTTTCACATCATACAACTGTTAATTATATACCCCTCATGATATAAGGCATTTAAAAATCGTGATAATTATTTATGTATAATAATATGTATACATAACAATAAAGCGAACTAATTTTCATTTCAAATGTGAATTCGAATGATGCGCAGACAACAAAAAGATTATCTTCAAAGACGGATCCAGGGCCGGCGCGCCAGGCGTCCCCCCCCCCCGTTTAAAATTTTTGTATGTAAAATTCATATCTCCATTATCCTAAAATCTAGAAGAAAAAAAACATCTTTTATTTGTAAGAAGAAGGCTTTGCCCCCCGGACCCCCCCCCCCCCCCACCAAGGACCATGCCTTAGGCCCACTGGGAGCTTTAGTACAGCCATCAGACCCCCCCCCCCCTGCATTCTACTGCGCTCCCTGTTACAAAATTCCTGGATCCGCCACTGGTTTATCTGACATAAGCCAGCCCCAACTATTTCACTTCAACTAGGTGAATTTGTGAAGAGTTATTTTCTTCCAACATTTCTAAATCCATCTAAAAAAATAAATAAAAAAAAAAGAATATAAGAATAAAGATCTGATACAAAATTATGAATTCAGTTCAGAAAGTGGTAAATACAGTAAATTTAAATGTTTTAGAAAACGGATTTGAAGGGACACTCTCTGAGGCAGAACTTAATATGGGTAAATTTGTATCTGAAAAAAAAAATGAAAATTTTAAGCCCCCCCCCTACCCAAAACCCCCTTCCTCAGAATCCAACATGCATCAAAATAATTTCGTGGAAGGAGTCAGGACCCCCCCCCCCCCCCCCCCCCCCCCCGTTTATACCACGTGCTGCAGGCATTGTGAGTTTCTACTTCCGAAGGCACCTCTAGCTAAGGCCCAATTTTTATTTTTATTTTTTTAATATAATTTCTAAATTTTCATTTTTTCTTTATTTTTGATCATTGAATTTATGTTCGTTGATTTTTCAGCATATAAGAATTGAATTATAAAGACAATCAATATATTTACTGCTGCTTCACGAATGACTCATGTTGATCCCAAAATAGCTTCCTTACATCATACTTTAGATTACAGGAAAGAATATTACGTGTTTACAGGGGATATAGACGATTTTTAAAAAGATACACCTCAGAATGAATTGCTTTTGCTGCATACATTCGTATTTTGTGAAAAGGAATTATATTGTGATGTGCCCGCTGACCATTTAATTATTTATTAATCATCATTATCATAATAAAAAACAAGATCAGGTAAATATATACTGTGGAAAAAATCATATCTCCATGGGTTTTAAACGAGCACACTAAGTTCTTGCAGAAGATCTATTTTAAGTAACAGCGTGAAATCCACGTCGAGATTCTCGCAGTGAGACGGGTAGCTCACCTATATTTATGTACTACACACTGACGCTGGCGATGGGGGACCAGGTAGGTCAAAGTTTACCTGTAATGTGTATGTACTTATATACAATGTACTTATATACAATGTATGAAGAAACCATTAACAGTGCCACCCTGTTCTTCAGGTGATGTAAGTAAAATTATACAACAACAAAAAAAAAAATCACTTGGACAGTGAACAGGGTCACCAGTACTCCCTTACTATAGATGAGTGGTCGGATAATTTATGTGATTAAATTTAACTTTTCATAAGACAAATATTTTTTTAAAAATCAGAGAAAAATTAATATTTCAGAATTCTTGAGTCGTGAGAAAGTAATAAAATATCAAAATAAACTTCTATTCCGTTTGATTCTGAGTGCAGGTAGCTGCCTTTTTAGTATTTAGATTTTTTTATGAGTCAGATTTAAATGAAATTTCATTTTTTATGCCAGCAAAAGATAAGTTATTTAATTTCTCTCCCAACAGATAAACCAAAACAACTGTGAAACTCCAAAAACTCTATTTCGAGTCGGGGGGTTGGGGGTTAGGGGGTTCTAGCACCGCACAATGATATCTAGCTGTAGGACCCTAAACCCTACCCCGATACGGCTTTTTCTAAGGTTAAATAAACAATAGTGTAGCTCAGTTCTCCATAGTTTCGTGTTCGAATGCAGAGTGACCAGATAATTTTTTTTAAATGTGTGCATTGATGAATATATTATCAATATTTTAAAAAGATTAGGTGCATATAAGGATTTTTTAAAATATATTTCCCATCTTTAACAGCTCTTTTATCTGCTATACATCCAGGTCCTGTAAATGAGGCCTATCCCAACTGAAAATTAACCCCACCCCCCTTACGTTAAAGAATCCCAATTGACATGCAAATTTATTATGTCAGTATTTATTAGGCGTATATTGTTTTTGTCCTGTCTGTTTATCTGTTTGTCTAGCTGTCTGTCTGTCTGTTGTCAACTTTAGCCTTCGCCATAACTTTTGAACCTTGAGAGATAGAGACTTGATATTTGGCATGCATACTCCACAAATAGAGCTCTTTCAAATGACACCAAGGTCAATGACCTTGTGACCTTGACTGTAAACCATATGCTAAAAACAGCTTTTTCGAACTTTCACCATATCTTTTGAACCATAGGAGATAGACACTTTATATCTATCATGCCTACTCCACTAATAAAGCTCTTTCAAATGGCATTAAGATCAATGACCTTGTGACCTTGACTGTGACCTACATGTATATGCTAAAAATAGATTTTGGAACTTCGTTGCGGCCGGGCGCATAGTGTTTCACAAACACATCTTGTTTTTTCAGTTCTTTTTATAATTTAAAGAAATCTTGAAATTTTAATGATTCATAAAGATATGAAAAGGGAACAAGCCTGCAAAGTATCTCTTTTTTCAAAAGTAAAACTTAATATAAGTATAAGACATAAATATATATTTCTAAATTTTGTCACTTTTTCGATTACAAATTCCCAATTAAAAGGGTACAGGACTCTGTTCCATAAAGGGTGTGTCATTTTAACACTGTAGAAGGTCCTTAGAAAAAATGTTAGTAAATTGCGAGAAAATGATATGCATGTACCATTTAATTTTCATTAATTTGGGAGAATATCCTTTTCAAAACATGAAATGTTATCTATGATAAGTACGCTATTATAAGAAATCCGAATAGGGCCGTGTAGCATTCCGGCCGTAGAACCGGGGGGAGGGGCATGGGAGGGGAGTGTCCCCTAATCTTGTCGAACAACATAGAAAACATAGCTACTATATGCTTGTATCCCCTCAATAAAAACAAACTAAACACACACACAAACGCCCTCCATTGTGAGGGGATAAAAATGCATGAGGAAACAATTAGTGGCTAAGATTTTCTGGGTAAATCATTACGCACTGAGACTTAAGATTTTGGGTTTCTGGTGTTTGCTATCATATAATGTTTTTCTTGATTGTACATGAGTATATTAAATTCAGTAAAAAAATCATCGTAATTTAGATTCTTTAATTAGGGGATAGGGAAAGGGAGCTTTAAATGACTAATGAGAAATTAACACATTTTTCATGGGGAAAAAATACCGTTTTTTGGGAACAGGGGATGGGGTCCCAATGACAAAATATCCATTATCCCTTTATACATTTTCCAATTTGAAGTGTCTTTTTTGTCGAATTTTGTCCCGCAAGCTATGCTATAATTGTTTGTATTTTACTTATAAAATACATTTCTTTTGGAAAATCATTCAGGTTCAAGCAACATTTTATATGAGTGAGCAGATGGTTTATGAACCTTAAGTTTATATCATATTGTATAAAATATAATGGATTACTGGCAATATTATGAGGAAGGGCATCCCCCGTTCTATGGGTCTGTGCGGAACGCGTTTGTGTAAAGTTGGATATGTAAGGCCATCATGATATGGGTCCCTAAGTGACCCTAACTGCATAACACTGTTACACAAATACTGTTTCTTGAAATATAATACTTATCTTGTAGAATAAAAAAGAATCAAGTCCAAGGATCCGATAAATATTTTTTGCTACATTAATTTCAATGTACCGGTATTTTTTTATAATATTTGTTTGCTCTGATCCAAACTTGAAGCCCTGGCTATTTTTTTTTCATCATTGCTGATACGACTCAAGAGAGGATAAATCCAGAAATTCTTTTTTCCCCCAAATTTCAAATGATTTACTAAAAGACGGAAATTTAAACAAATGAATGTATATATACGTATGCCTCATAACGAAAAAACAATTAAACTTCGAAAAAATATAATTATTTATTTATAGCAAGTCTCTTTTTGAAAGAGTCTCGTTCTATTTGTATCCCAAGTAGCCTTGAAATAAAAGAGGATTTATTTCGCCCCCACATCGTACATTTGATGGTTCTATATTTCTATCTAATTGCTCATAATCTGGAATTGACACTTCCAGTAAGAAACATTCCACACCCGCGTGAAATTACTCGCTCAATTAACGACACACGTAGCGATTTTCTCAAGTGTCAAAATCCAGTTTTTCCGGATAATTTCTTAAATGAATTGAATGACCATTCATTGTTGGGCATGTTTACGACCTGTATTTATCAGCTGTTTATGTCGGTGGACCCTACCCTCGGCGGTAGGGGGGACGTTACCCCCTCTGTTTTTATCTTCCTGGTTCTAATGTGACAGATCTTGATTAGCGAGGTCATCGATCTAAATTGCATTTTATCGTCTGGATCGGTCGATGACTTTAATTAACAATAAACATGGGGAAGGGGGGGGGGGTTCCGATATATAGTAACTGTTATATATCGATAGAACTCGAAACGGAAAATATAACTCATCATTTGCATTTTAAATGGTTTTGAGTGAATAAATGAACTTGAACACTATGATCATTGAATCTCTTTGAAATTTTGAATTTCTGAAATGATATGAAACTTTGATTTGTTCTTTTTTTTTATGTATTCATAACTCTAAATAATTATCGAAAAGTGTTTGAGTTAGTTATTTTATTATTTATGATGATTTTATTCACTTTTCGATGTCACCCTCTATGTCATTTAATTGATTTCATTTCTATGTGTAATGATATTTTAAAAAGTGATTGGTTTTTTTTTTCCTGATAATTTAAAGAAGCTCGGGTGGTTCCTCTTCGCAAAACTTGACACCATAATTCCTAAAGCAAACATGATATTGATAATAAACTATAATCAAACTAGTTTTCACTACTGTCACACGATGAGTGGGAACTGACAGTGTTTTCTGAATGACGACAGATTAAGTGGTTGTACAGAAATGACGAGGTGTCAACGATTCAGGGTATCAACACTTTTCTCTCGGTCAAGGTTGAGTGACTCCTCATTATGGTCACGTGACTTGATATATACCCGCTAGAGTGAGTTCTGTCACAGAAACTCTACCGGGGTTCCAGTTTTAACGAGGCACGCTTTTTCTTGTTGGCTTTGTGAAAACTACTCAGTGAACAGAAATAAGACTTTTGCATGTGGCAGAATGGACGAAGACAAAATATCTAAATGTAAGTTTTCCCTGAATTATAACAGCAACCTGGGAGCTTTGTTTAAACCACAGGGGCTTGTTCCCGGCGTGTAATAATTATTTATTTATAAAAAAAAAAAAAAAAAAAAAAAAAAACATAATACGGTAATAATAAAACTGCAGTGTTGTTGGACTATTACCGTGTATGATTCTTTAAAAAATATTACAAGCCGTGAGCAAGCCCCTGTGTTTAAACATAAAGGATACTCTATATGTATAGTTTGAAATTGTTTTATTGTTAGCAATTCATGTACTCTGACAATAATTCTTGGTAACTTTGATTTTCACCCTGCCCTTCCGTATTTTGTTTATCGTTTGTGCAGTATTTAGGACTGACGGGACATCTAACCAAAATGGAAAATTCCAGACAGGCAAAATAATTTTTCGGAAGTATGGTTGTCGCGCACCACTGTAAATTAAGCATAATTTAACTGTTTAGTATATCTTTAAAAAAAGTCTTCCCCCCCCCCTCCCCGGTGCCTGTTGGTCTGTATTTCATCTAGAATACAACGTAATGCGAAAAAGAGAAGAGCAAGCGGAGTAACTCTAAGTTATGTTCACTTGTGATGAAAATTATTGTGGTTACCTCCCTTAGCACATGATGCAGTCGTCGAACACTTGAAAATAGCAGAGCATGATGATTAGCTGCAGATCTGTAGCGTTATGGTTTTATGTATTTGTCTTTGTCTTTGACCATAACGCTACAGATCCCGTAGTGCAAAAAGGTGCAATTTACGGCGCAATATTTTTTGCGCTCTTTTGGGGAGAATTTCTCCACTTTCTAGCATCGGTCAATCAACTACCTTTCACTCCCTAATTCTAGACACATTTTTGAACTAATCTATATATTTTATCCATTTCCTAACCATTTATACTCGTCTCTACAAGTGATAAACTCGCTTGATTAAAATTATTTGTTAGATTACTGAAAATTCACTTCAGGCGAGTTTATTGCCTGTAGAGACAACTATAAATGGTTGGGAGGTGGATAAACTATACATATTGGATACAGAATGTGTCTAGAATTAGGGAGTGAAAGGTAGTTGATTGACCAATGCTAGAAAGTGGAGAAATTCTCCCCAAAAGAGCGCAAAAAATATTTCGCCGTAAATTGCACCTTTTTTGATCTGTAGCCTTATGGTCAAAGACAAATATATAAAACCATAACGCTACAGATCTGCAGCTATAGAAAATGATGAATGCCTATGTATGTCCGGATAATTTACATCAAGTCCGGTTATAGTAAAGAGTTATATATATTGAAACTGCTTCATGTTGTAAAGGCTTTGATATTGTTTTACCTGCTTGCTTATATTTTCAACCGAATATATGTCATGTTTAATATAGTTGGATCTTTTCATTAATTCAATAGGAAGAAAAATTCAGGCCTGTTTTTTTTTTTTTTTTTTTTTTGATTTTAAATTCTTAAACAACAATCAGATTTCCGCCTTGGGATTTCACATGAACTGATTAAGGAAGAGACGGAATTTGGCTTTCATCTGTTTAAATAGTTGACACCTTTGTCATGGCTCCAGGACAATCTTGTTTAATCCGAGGTAGATAACTGATGTATCAGGTTTTATAAAGAGGAAATACGAGTTATCCCACATTGACCTACTGTTACCTATCTTGAGCGTATCATCAGGAAGTTGTCTGCCCATAGGCCAGGAAGCAAGCTGCCTGAACTAAATTTCCACATTAAATTGATTTTTTTCTAAATTTTGTCATATATGGTAGACATGAACACATGCGATATTGAGGTTTTGAGAGAAAACATATTAATAAAAAGTTGTTTTTGTTTTTTTTTTACTTTTTTAAACAAATCTTTTGACAGAAATTATAGTCTTAAAACAGGAGGAAATAATGTCAACATTTTATAAAAAGCAATAAAGACATGTGATGATCATACAGATGAATATTTGACCGAAGACCAGCGAGTTTGTCCCGTGACTGGTCTGTATGAGCGCGGGCTGCTTTACCATTCACCTAGCGTCACACGGTTACACTGTTTGTTGATTTAACTTCTATAAATAGCGTGGGGTAGGTAGATAGGTACAAAGGTATTCCTTTATCGCCTTTCACTTTACCTAGCCTAGCTTCTACCCGTGGGAAAAAATGCGGCCGAGCTGTGCGCGCTTTAAAATTCTTCATAGTTAAAACACTATTTTATAAACCATTAATATATATGCTATTAACAAAATCTCTTCTACTAAGTGATCTCAACATTTTTTGTTTTCTAACAATCATTATTTAGTTACAAAATGTTTTAAGTTTGTGGTCAAACGTGAGAAGATAGTTATATGTATAATTTTTTGAAAAAAGAAATAGGTTTTTAAAACGCAAAAAAAAATCATTCACAGCTAGTGAAAAATACAAGATGTCTCTGACTTTCATGTTTGCTCTATAACCACGCTGCTTTGTTTTGGTTTCGAGGTGGGCATGAATCGATACGTAATGCAATTGATCTAAAACGCGCCAACTCTTTTGATTGGCTAAGATCTGTAAACACGCATTCCATGAATGCAGTGAAGCGCAATAGTGTGTTGGCCGTGAGCCAAAATATAGTGAACGCTAGATCCAGACAGAAAATCTCCGCGAAATGTAGTTCCCCTGTCTACTCCAAATTTGTAAGAAATATTTGTGTTTTTCGGTATTCTAAATTTCAACAGAAATTCATTTTCTTAAAATATTACAATATTTACATGAAAAACGATTAAAGATCACCTTAATATTTTTGGAACGTCGCCAAGTGGGCAGGGACACTTACTGCGGAGTAATCGTGTTCTAATTCCCGCAATTGTTGATTTGAAACTTCATAGTACAAACACAGAGCCTTGTATGCTCAGATAATAACAAGCCGTCGACTCGCTCGCAACGACGTGGATTCTCGTACATTAAACAGCAACAATGTTTTAGTGTGGATATGTTTTCAAAAAAGGAAAATTTAAATATGTTTTCTTGTAATGGAAATTCGCCTCAGGAAAAGGACGTGAAAGGTAGGTTTTGAATATTTTTTTTGCCTGGATCCGTGTACAATATGTTAGGGCAGTGTTGTCAAGGAACGTGAAATAGAACCGCTTGATTTGGATTTGACTAATATTTTGTTTTGTTTTATGATTTTTAGTACGAGATAAGGAAAGCTTCACTAAAGCTTACAATGTTGGCCCAACTCTGGGGAGCGGAGGGTTCGGCACGGTGTACGCTGGAACACGGAAACGAGACAATATGCCAGTAAGTTTTCCCGCGGAAAAAACGGGACGCGCTAAATGTCATTAGGTGCAGGTGTCAAATATCCAAGTTTGTTACTTTGTATGAATTTATGACACGCTTTTAAAAATTATTTTGTTTCTTTTCAGGTCGCTATAAAATTAATAGCAAGAGAAAAAGTGATAGAATGGGGATCCATTAACGGGCATCAAGTTCCGCTGGAAATATGTCTACTAAAAAAAGTGTCAGTGTGTAATGGAGTTATAAAAATGTTTGAGTGGTACGAAATGAAAAACTACTTTGTGATAGTGATGGAAAAGCCTGAGCATGTACAGGACTTATTTGACTTTATCACGGAGAAAGGTGCTCTAGACGAGGAAACTAGCCGAAAATTTTTCCGACAAATTGTGGAGACCTTAATCGCCATTCATAAAAACGGAGTAGTTCACAGAGACATTAAGGATGAGAATATTTTAATTGACTTGAAAACAGGAGAACTGAAATTAATTGACTTCGGCTCTGGGGCTTTCCTAAGAGACACAGTGTATTTAACATTTGATGGTGAGTGTCGATATTTGTGAATTTTCTGTGATATTTTCTGTATTGGCATCACTGGATTGTGTAAATTTCTAAGTCGATCCGATCCTCCATATAAGGTTTTCCCGACCCCAATACCGCGCGAGCTGGCAGATGCACCTAGCGGGTCAAAATTTATCAGCATCTAGCAGCGCACTGACTGTGCTATTTATAGCACAGCAGCCAACTCTTTACTTGGTCTGCGTTATCTAATCACTCTTATTTGATTAAACCCGATTTGACCGCGGGATTAATACATGTGGTATGGATTAAGGTCAAACGCGCTAGCATTCCTTGGCACTAGGGCTTTAAATTGTAGTTGCTATAAACTTCCAACACAGTAGGGATTGGTATTGTGAAATGCACCATGTGACAAATTCATTAGAAATACCTGAGCCCATTCTTAACTGCTTGGTCATTTAATAGCTGGAGGGTCAAACTGACTTTTAAAAGGCACATTGATTTTGACACAACTAATTATCTAATATTCTTGTTATGGTTGAAAAATTTGAAGCATATGGCCGTGCAGTAAATTTATGCCCCAGTGATATTCCTTGATCACTGAAGCGTGACCATTGTCCCAGAAATTTCACTCAATAGACCAGTGATGCCTAACAAAAATTGCTTCCACCTGTAGAATCTATTACTCATAAATAAGCCCTTTGTTAAGTGCTCTCTGGGCTGTTAATGACTCATTCAGTAAAACATCTACTTTTTTTTTACCTGTCCATTAATTAATAACAAGTAATTAATTGACCTGGTGTATTTGTGTTTTTCAGGAACAAGAGTATATAGTCCACCTGAATGGATCAAGTTTCATCGGTACCATGGTCGCTCAGCCACCGTGTGGTCTCTGGGTATTCTCTTGTTTGATATGGTGTGTGGAGACATCCCTTTTGAACAAGATGAGCAGATCATGAAAGCCGAAGTTTGCTTCAGGGGCAGACTTTCACATGGTAAGTCAAATAATTTATTATACAATCCCAAATTTGAAGAAAAAAAAAATTAATTAAATATTTATATTCCTGGAAATGGGTAATTGGAAGAATATTTAATTGACTTCTTTATTTTATTTTTTCAGAAGCAAAAGATTTGATAAGGAAGTGTCTGTCCATCCGTCCGTCCGATCGACCCAGTTTAGAGGATATCCTAGTTCACCCTTGGATGGCCCCCACCCCCCTCTCTGTGGATAAACTTGTCATTCGCACCCCCTCCAATAACAATATGTCCTCAACAGGTTCTATGGATGGCGAGAGTATGAGCAGCCAAGAAAGCATATGACGCTGACAGAAACTTTTAGCCCCCCCAGTAGTGTTCAAATTATTTATTTGTTGGGAGACAGTGAAACTTCAACGAACCAATGAAAGTGTTCAATCACTTCCTATTCCAAGCCTCAGGGAATTTTTCTCGTCAGATGGATATTGTACCGAAAAAAAATTCTCCTTTGGACATTAGAAGAAGGATTTCTCCAAGAAACTTTCTTAATTTTAATGTGATCAGAAAGAAATACTGGATGCCAAAGATTTCCAAATGAAAAGAATTGACAATTGAAAAATGACTTTTTTTTTGGATGATAACCTCAAAGGTCAAGAAAAAAATGTCTGTTCAATTGATGCTGAAATATGCAAAACAAAATGCTCAAATAATGTATTCATTTGAAAGGAAAAAATAATTTTTTTGTAAGAAATTGCAAAAAACTAAGGTGTGAGTTCTGAATAGGAATTTCACCCACACTGCCATTCCAATGCAAGCTAAGCACAGAAGAGGGTACTTTGCATTGCTGAACAATTTTCCTCCTTTGAAAGCATTTTCAAAAAATGTTTACACAACAGTCTGGTGCTATCAAATCTTTTAGCAGCATAACTTTTTTTTAACATATGTAATTTCAAGTTAGAAAATCTGACAAGATGCTCATGGCATTAAATAGACCATAAGCCCTATATTGAAATTATATGCTCTATCTTTCGACGTTTTGGTTTTTTTATTCAAAGAAACCAAGGAAAAAAAACTTAACAAATACTCTTATCATTAAATATTCTTACAGTAGATTAAATCATTTGACACAATTCTGCCTTTTTTTTCTGCCCGATTTTTTTCCCATATTTTTTCCCTCATTCATTGTTCAGAAATGCAGACATTCTCAATAGAATTCATTGACACCGCATACACCTCATTATTCTCGGATTCAAGTCGGAATGGATACTTGTATCGGAAAGTTTTTCTCATTTGTAAATAGCCATTTTTAATTTATTGTATAAATGCGTGGAAAAATTGTTTTTATATGGGAATAGTGTTTGTGAAAATGCTGAGTTATAAGCGACATGAAATGTCTGTGTGGTTGAGCGGGAGTTAATTTATTGATGGTCAATAAACCTCAAATATTGCATCATTGTATATAACTTATTTTTTTATGAATGATAAATAAATGGAAAAAATCCTTGGTTTAAAAAATAATAAAATAAAATTTGAATTTTAAAATTACTTGCTTGTTGCGTATTTTATTTTTATATAACGGAAAGCCACTGGAAAGAATTTTTCGAGTTTTTGAACGACGCTGATAAATCTAGAATTTAAAGTTTATCAGCGCCGCAAGTAGAGCTCCCCTAAAAAACTTTTCTGTGGTTTTCTGAAAAGTATATATATTTATATTGGAAATGAGAAAAGATGGGAATTTCAAACAGCAAACTTACGCTGTGATTAGCCGAATTCTAATTTTGTCAGAAGTGAGTAATATGAAATGTTTACATTATATAACTAGGAAGAAAAAAAAACGATGAAAAAAATGCCACGGTAGAAATATGCCGTCGATATCTAGTCTAGCTCTAAAACTTGAATCGGATTTTTTATTGAATACATTATCGCGACATTCTTTGGCACCGTGCCAAAGGTAGGTATACAATGTTTATATACACGAACTGCGCAGATTCTGAACCCTGGGCGACTCGCGGGGTTTAATATAGAACAATATATACGGCAGGCTATAGCAGCGTGATAGGCCGTAGACAAGGTTAAAAGTAGGTCACAGAGCGGACTTAATAGTATTTACGCAACCGTGGACGGCGCGAAATGTGTCAAGGTGAGGGACGACTGATGTCCAGCAAGTTGAGTCCAATTCGTGATTTGATAAAATTCTCTTCTGTGTTCAAAGACTTTTGCGGTAGTGTTTCTCATAATAATTTTTTTTTGAAATAAAATAAAATGCTACATTGTTTTATTAATATAAATTTTTTTTTAAATATTTTTTTATTTTTAATTTTTTTTTATTTTATGTATTTATTTAATTCTTGGTGAAGAATAATTTAGATACACTAGAAGCCAGAAAGTGTTTACTGAATGGTACTAGATTAGGATTTTAGGTAAATCGAGTCAACCCTATGTCTTGTACACTAAATGCCTTGCGAAGTCACCTTTACAATTATGCATACATTGCAAACACCAAAAAGTGAATTGGATGAGAAAAGATAAACGCGTTAAATATTGGAGACAGTAAAGAACTCATCTCTCTCTCTCTCTCTCTGACGTCATTCCCCAGGAAGTACGCCCCTGTGCCCCTCTTGTATCCTGAAGTTAAGTTTGATCCTCCGAGTTGACATAAGGACACATACGTAACGACCACGAGTGCTGAAACATACCGGACATAGCGGTCAATCGATCGCCGGACTCCGGTTATCGCGCGCTATCTTCATTTATAGTCTTCATTTCAAATTACATGTAATAAAATCTACAAACATGTAGAATGTGTATATATATGCATGTAATTGAAAGACACTTATACATGTATTTGTATCAATAGAATTAATATTTCCAAGCAATACAAAAACACGTATGCCTCATTACTTTGCTCTTTTGAAAAAAAAGGTCAAGAAATTTATGCAAAAGGGTGATGCTCCGGAAAAAAGTTAAAGGCTGAATGTTTAAGTAGAGCGGGACTGGGGGTAGGGGGGTATTGAATTATAAATAAAAAACAGGGAACAGATTCAGTAAGAAACCTGGAATGAGAATCAGAAAACTGCATCACACTTATCCATATACGTTCATAACCGAGAATTCGAAGTCTCTGTGGCATGGTTCGTGCAGCAATGACTTGCGTGCATTGTTGTGCCGCCCCAACATTGAGATCTATCTTCACGTATCAGATCTATTACTTCAATAATCGCGGTCAAGTGATCCGGTTTCCACAACTGTCGACGCGTCCTTGCTTTTTAAATTTCCGAGAAATCCCTTTCTTCCTTGTTCTATTAAATAAAAGGTCGCCAACCTGCGCGTTATTATTTATAAGAGGACCCAGTGTGTAGCAAAAATATGTGTTTATGTACCCAGAGAGAGAGAAGAGAGAGAGAGAGAATATAGTAGCTTTATTCTGCAAAATGTACATATGTCTAAATTTATCGACAAAACAAATTTTTTTCCTCATCACTTTCCTTAAACGCATAAACAGGTATACTTATAGATAAACTTTTCACATGAACATTGTCTTTGGTCCAAAAATAAAAATCGAGTTTGGTGGTTGGTTTATTTATGCGATTATTTTTTACCCACGTTGCACTTTAAAAGATTTGTCAATGTATATGTACACTGGAAAGTTTATTTCCAATTTCATGTCAGAAGAAAATATTATCAGGCCTTGTCCCACCTTAAGGTGTACTTAGAGTAACAAAGTAGCGGCTTATGAAGGTTCCCACTCTCTTTGTCCTGATAAAACTTTAGCGTAAATGTTTCGTATTTTTATATCTTATCTTGTCTATTTTAATAACAAAATGAAGTTCAATGGGCGAGAAACAGTGCACTTATCGAGTTTCAATTTAGAATGGTTTATTTTGGGAGAGGTTTTCTTGTGCGACAGAAAAATTCACATTCTTTCTTTAGCAGCTAATCTGGTGCGTACCGAGTATTTACGGCTAAATATCGCTCCACCCCGAGGTAAACTATGCATAGATCAAAATGTCTCGAATTTCCGATAATTGCTGTATACATATAAGGGGTCCGTCGTCCCCAGAAGTTTAGGTCACATTAAGACGGGACCACGGTCATGGGGTTCGTTGCGTGGCAGGAACAGCGCGAACAAACAAGTCTTATCTACAGCATATACTCGTATCTATCTGACAACGAAGTGAAAGTCTGGAAGAAAGAACTGGGTCAGGTTAGGGGTAGGTTGGGACGGGCAGGTGCTCCTTGTCCTAAATTTCAGTCCGCCATGTTATTAAGTGCAACGAAGGAGGTTTATATTTAGCCCCCTGTCACGTGACTTGTCTAGAAAGCTAACAGCACATCGTGACTTGTTCCGAATTTCATTGATAAAATCGAGTGTTCATGCGTATAAAATCGACAAGGAAAACGTCGCCCAAATTTTTCATGAGTCATTGTCTGTACTAAGAATGATTCCTAAATTACATCGTCTGAAATTTCTGTGTTTTTATCAATAAAAAGTTGTTGATTGTTTTTAAATTCCAAAGCAAATCGACCCCATTTATTATAAAGTACCGAGTTCGACAAGGAGGCAACATTTACCATACCTTGTTCAGATATATTGACGATATCAATGTACTCATGTTTTTATTGACATATAATCCCCGTTAAAGGTTGATAACCGATACAAATAATTACAATATTGCCGATATGAAACTTATTAATGTTCTCCCTCTTTCAATTCGAGATAGGAATCTTCGTCCAGGGCATTTAATTGTGTAACGTGAGCACGACCCCTGAGTTCACTATCTTTCAGTGTTAACTTCTTAACGTACGATGCTCTTTTGAAGTGAATATTTATGGATATGAATTCATTAAATCACAACTTGTTGAAACAAAATGTGAATGAACCTTATTAAATGAGATAGCTTGCTTGACCCCTCTTGACCTTTCTTGACTTCTGTTTCTGTTGGCCAGGTCTACGCCCGTCATGGAGGTCTAATCCTTATGATGCACTGAGCTGCAAGAACGGGTTTTTAAGTATTATTTAGAGTACGAGTTTCCTACTGTATCAGAGATACAGGGCGGGGCTTGAGGCGAGAGCGATAGCTCGAGCCGGGCCCCGCCCTGTATCTCTGATACTCTTAAGACGATACCGAGCAGTATTCTAAATGACTTGTGACATGACCTTTCCAAGGACCTCACTAATTTACATGCGTATTTGGGTACATACCTCCCAACCAATCAGATGATTTTGCAGAAAGTTGATTTAGTATCCCATTTTAAGCATTCGCAACTGAAATGCCGAGTGAGATGGACGTGCAGGTATCTATCATTTTAAAATAATTATTTAAGGGATGCATAAATTAATTTGTTCTCCAAAAATTTTATTTAGATTTGATTGCGCAGGGTTTTTTTTTTCTCTGTGCAGCTCTTGCTGACATTTTTTTTTTCAGTTTAAGCTACGATTTAATGCAAAACATTTTGATATATAAGAATCATGTAGGAATATTTTTGAAACAAAAATGCTTCGGGAGATCGTAGATTCTGAGAGAAATGTCCGACAATGTCCTCCACCGGTCGTCATATACAAATTTAAATAAGCAGATGAAAGGAAAAGGGGGGTATTTTACGATCATGTTTTCATTAAAATGTAGAGTAACTATAAAAAGGGGAATACAGCACTCACTGGTGCCCCCATCCCACCTCCTTTGAGTTTTTTTTTTCTTTTTCGCTTTCGTAAATAATTTTTTTTCCTAATCTTGTATACATACGCTTAATTTTTAATGCGTCAACAAGTAACGAAATGACGCACATAGGTGTTGGTTGATTATAAATATAACCCCACGGAATACGATTTTCCGTTTTTTTTTGGGGGGGGGGGTCAAAGTAATAATTTGTGAACTTCCCCACTCCCTCCTTTCTAAAATTTTTGAATCCGACAATAAAACCTTTACGTTGTAAAATTTTATTCTTAATTCACCTCAATTTTTGAGTAAATACTAACAGTTCTATGGCGAATTGAACGATTGGTATGTCTGTATATGGATACAGCTTTCCGTCATCGCTAAATATAAACCGTACTGTATCGTTGATATTTTGCAGATACAGTACAGTTTCTGCTCATTTGCATAAGAAACGCCCACAAAAAGTGTTCTGTATCGCAGTTACAGTATGCTTGACTTCAAAGGAAAACTCACCGGGTCATGTCACAATGAATGACAATTTTACCTACACACGCTGATGAGAATGCATTCTGAAGAATCTTCCAGCGCGATCAATCGAAGCGTTCGTTGATAGCAGAGCAGACTTTAGCGTTTGTCTTTAAGGACATTTCACCCTCTTATGGAGATACCGAGCATGTTCATTGACACCTGTTGGGAGAGAATGGCTTAAATTCAAGGAATGTGTTTTCAACATTATTTCCTTTGAAAACTGATAATGTATGTTCTTATCAATCTATGGAGGGCCCGTGGATGACGAATATATTAAGCCCGTCTGTTTTAGGTTATGAACCCCTTAGATCAAGATGGCCGTCAAGAACATTACCCCCAAGGATTTTGTAAACAACTTCA